ATCTAAGCCATTATTTCCACTCCTCAGTACTAGCTTTTAAAGTACAGCTTTGAGAGCAAGAGCATGACTTTAGAAATTATCTAATATGTTCATGAAAATCACCAGAATCTATTCAAGTTATCTATTAATATATCTAATTTACTTTACAACTAATAAGAAGATTCTTTGTCTTACCTGAATGTAAACTAAAATCTGTTTTTGCAAATTCTGACTCTGTATCAGTCTCTAGCTCTTCAGACTCCTAAAGAGATTCATGATCACTGTTATTCATATCAGCAATATAACTAGCACTCAAAGAAGAATCCGCTTTGGGAAGAAAATTGTATTCTATCAATTTAGAATGAATGTAGTAATATTTCTTATACTACTTGAGCTCAAAGAAAAGAATACACTTTAATTCAAGCTCTCGTTGAGAAGTTCTACTTCACTATGTTAACATCTTACAAAAAAGATTGGATAATCAGATTGTCTGATATCTCCTGTTGTACTTATTGTTCATACTACAGATTTATTATTACAGTTGCAATCAAAAAATAAAAATAAAAATTACAAAACATATTATAACAATGAATTCGCCTCCTAAAATAAAGCCAGAAATATTTTCCTGATAAATCCTTATCTTCTTTATTTTTCTATGTAATAAAAAAAAAAAAACAGATTTTTTGAAATATTCACTTTAAAACTCTACTCTGGGCTCAATTTCTTTGACAAATATTTTTTAAGACTATCAGAGGATACTCTACATACTTAAGAAGTTTCATATGAAGTGAAGTATATTTGTTGTATTGAGAGATTGGTACATTTTTTGCATAACAGCACCCTCTTAATCTTTGCGAGGTGTCATACTTTTCTCATATTTGCCATGTATTAGTAGATTTTTCATTAGTTGTGTATCTCTTGGAATACAAAGATTTTTTGTCCTCTTCACCTTCCCCCTCTGAGTCATCCAAAGTATGGTATCATACGACAAGAGAAAATCCCACACTACCAGATGGTTCTATAATATACAATACACGGATATTACGATGCCCAGGGATATTACGAGACTGACCTGGTGAGGTAATAACTAATGAATTCCTACCATCTTTAACAAAACATGGCAGTACAGTTTGATTTTTATTCTGAGTAATACAGTGATTAAGAAATATAAGCCAGAAGAGAAAACAAGGAAAAATGAAAACATTTAAGGAAATAATTACAATGAGTGATAACATATGACTGCATTTTGGATATTACTCCTCTTCCTCATCAAACTCTCCCAAGTGCATCTTTCAGAATGATTAACAGTTGTAAGTTGCTCAGTCTGGGTTTTAGTGTTGGTTTCCAGAGGTTTCGTGGAGCTGCAGGATGTATAGGGTGTTGCCAAGAGGTAGAAATCCATCATGGTTGGTTGATTCCTCTTCCAATCTACTCCTTCTTCCTTTTATTGACCTTCTACTACTGGACCCTTTACCAGGTAGCTTACTCTCACTACCAGATGATTCAGAATTCTCATCCTCTACTCGCCGGCGCTTTTGGGATCTTTGATGATCGCTTTCCTCCTTCTTTCTCTTTATTTCTGCCACCTTTTTTACCCTTTCCTTCTGGGCAAGTTTTTCCTTATATGCCTTATCTAAAGCCTTCTTCCCAATTACCTCTGTCCATGTAATGATCGCACCTGTGTAGACCTTACTTGCCTTTCACTTTTTTAGCTCATCTGACAGCTGTTTTTCATGAATCAATGACTGAGCAGAGGTACTTGTTGCAAGAGAGACGAGCTCATATCCAATCTCATGTACTCTTGCCACAGACTCTACGTTGGTTAATTTGAGTTCTAGTTTCCTAATATTACTTGTCGGAGTGTTGCTATTGGCTAGAGGGCAAAGGTTGTAATGTGTTTAATGGACCGGGGTAGGATTTTAGAGATCAGGATTGGTGAGGACATGCTATTGGTTAAATGGTGCTATACTGGTACAGCGAAAAGTAGTCTTAATATTACTCTCCATCAAGCCTTTCCTGCGGACCTCCATTACTATGTGAAAGAAATCGCCCTTGTGGATGGTTGAATAAACACTATGATTTCTAAGAAACTCCTCAACTTGTTGTCAATAATAGGAACCAATAGTACCAAATGGATTTTGGTCAAGTGGTTGAAGGATATGGGTTAGGTAGGAGGGAAAAAAAAGCAGCTGTATCTTGTGGGTCCAGTAGTAGTGGTAGAAGTCAAAATCCTGATGGGAGATATGATTGTCAAGTAGCAATAGTCGGTAGGCACTGGGAGAGGAAGGTTGACAGTGGATTGCGAAATATTCTTCCAACTACCTTAAGGACAATCGCTTATGCATGTAGCCAGTCATGGAAATGCTGAAGGTAGCTTCATCTCTTTCAGTATAGTCATGCCAGCTTTCACGTTGGAACTTTTCTTGGTATACAAAAAACAGTAGAATGCTTTTTCCTCCAGCAGAGATAGTATCAACTACTGTGACCTATTCTCTACCACTATCCTGAACTAAACATGCATTCCTCTTACCAGCCCTACAGAAGACCTTTCCTCCAATAGCCTGCTCAATTGCAAAGCCTTTTTCATCTGAATTTTAGATATCCTCATCGAGAATCTTGAATCGACTTTTCACCTCCAAGAACTGATTAAAGCAGGATACCAGTCTGACTTGTTCTTGTGCAAGCGCCCGATCTTTGTTGATTGGCCTTGCTACATTATGCGCTAGCTCTGAATAGTGTTTTAAGAACCGATCTGTCTAATACTTTCCTAGCTGTACTGAATTGGTAGCAGTTCCCTGCTTTATAAGATATTCGACCATATCCCGTACATGCCGGCGCCTTGGTAGAGTTCCCTGATCATCCATTTTGTTGATCCAACCTACTACCGCTTCCTCCTCCCCAGGGCTCAAGTGCTGCTGGGTTGCATGAGCTGTTGCATGAAATTTTGTCTGCTTATGCCAATGATTTCTAAGAGTTTTGTCATTTAGTCCATGGACCCGAGTGACGGTAAGAATTTTGAGATTTGGATTGACATCAAGTTGCCTGCAAGCTTATTCAATTTTAGCTTGATGCTAGGCTTTGGATTTTCGCATTTTTGAGGTGTTTGAGGTCTTTGTTGTGTAGACAATCTGCTTTACATTTTCCCATTACTCTTTATAGTGTGTTCACGATTATGTCATTAAACCCAGGACTCGTAATAACACCATCAAGTATGTTAACCCCTAATGGCAGTGCAAACAAAAAAACACAAGATGATTTAAAGGCCTATCCAGCATATTTCAGTACAGTGCAGTGCATTATAGTACATCATATTCCTCACAATCATGTCTCTGAAGGAAAAAAAAAAAACCAATTTTTTTTCCCACCAATACTCAAAGCAGACAAATCTATAGAAAAGAAGAAGAAAATTTTTTTTTGATACTATAGACACTCATAGAGAAGGTATAATACTCCTGTATTTATTATTATTATTATTATTATTATTATTAAACCCGTTCACCTGAAGGTGGAAAAAAAATTAAAAATTCTCCACTTCCTCTCCCGTCGCATTTCGCAATGCCGCTTACGATATCACCTCCCAACTGCTAAACCTGTAAGTGTCCCGTTGCCTTTTTATTTGGAGGGAATAATACAGTAAGTGGTGTAGTATGCTATTTCTGAAAAAAAAAAAAACACGCACAAATTCTCACTCGGCCTGGGTTGTATGGTGTGATGCTGTGGGCTTGTATTGTCGCGGGTTTGTGGTATGATGTGATACAGTAGAGGGGTTGAGAGTTCTCCGTGATGGGTTGGAAGGGAATATATCGTCTATCTAGGGTAAGGTAAACCAGGAAAGTTGCCCAACACAGCCTGGTACTCAGTGGTTCTAGTCTACTCACTCTTTATTCTGCAGAGTCGTTGCTAAGCCAATCATCACATGGTATCACCATAGCAAAAAGTCTAATGACCCACATAGACACCCTGAAGACATGATATCCCAAAGACACGCAAAGAAAAACAAAGAAAGAAAAAAACTAAAGATAAAAAACCCAACATTTAAAAATTAGACTGGTTGAAAGTCCGTTACTCCCCCGTCCCACCGTGTACCGAATCCCATTGTAAAAAGAGAGAGAGAAAGCAACCCTTTAAAAATAAAATAAAAAAGACCAAACACCGAATAGATGAATACCGAGTCGGTCTAGAGAGTTATTTGGGTAAAATGTTTATAAAGGAGTAGATCAGAATAGATTCTATCGAACCAGAGCCCAGCAAAAAAAAAAAAAAAAAAAAGAACCTGATGGAAATTCAACACAAGTCTCAGTTACTACAAGTTGGGCGCGCGTCGAGGAGTCTATTCGATAGTTCCGACAGGAATGCAGGAACAGAAGAGGTTAAGGTCACCGAATGCTGTGACCCCCATTAGTTCAAAAATACCAAAAGGGCTAGGGTTAAACGAACAGTCATCGACTCTGGTCACAGTAGGCCAGAACTTTCTATCCTTCAAGTAGGCCAACGGGAATGCAGCCTGGTTCCTACCATACGAACGACTCCATTCGTCGGTGAGGAGATCCTTCTGAGTGTGAGGGCTGTTCTTTAATACATTGCCTTCGCGTGGTTGTTCGCCCGACTCGACCGCAGCAATTTCCTTACGAATAGAAATGAGAGCATCACAGAAGCGATCCAGTTCTTGGAGGTTTTCGGACTCGGTAGGTTCGACCATGAGAGTTCCGTTAACGGGCCAGGACATAGTGGGGGCATGGAACCCGTAATCCTGGAGACGCTTAGCAATATCGATAGCTTCAATGCCGGCACTCTCCTTGAATCCCCGAAGATCAAGGATAAACTCGTGGGCGCAGCGCGAGTTGTTATTAGTATACAGAACCTTGTAATGAGGAGCCAAACGGGAAGCCATATAATTGGCGTTCAACAATGTAATCTTTGTAGCATGAGTCAAACCACGACTGCCTATGGCACCGATTAGCGATACATAATAGCAAATAAGGGAGTCACTTCCTTACCCATCATCTTGATGTACGACCAGGAAATAGGCAAGATACTCGCAGATCCCCAGGGGGCGGCTGAAATTGGCGCAATAGCCTGCTCTCCACCAGTCTTAACGAGAGGATGTCCAGGCAGGAACGGCGCCAAATGGCCCTTCACGCCAATAGGACCAACACCGGGCCCTCCACCACCGTGAGGAATGCAGAAGGTCTTGTGCAAGTTCAAATGGCAGACATCGGCCCCAATCTCTCCGGGGCTGCAGAGGCCAATCTGAGCATTCATGTTGGCGCCATCCATGTAGACTTGCCCTCCATGAGCATGGATAATTTTGCACGCCTTCTTGACACCTGGCTCGAAAACGCCATAGGTACTTGGGTAGGTGACCATGAAAGCGCCAAGTGTGTCTTTATATTTCCCGGCCTTCGCTTCAAGGTCAAGAATATCCAAGTTTCCATCCTTAGGGTCACATTTGACAGTGACAACCCTCATCCCTGCCATAGATGCCGATGCTGGATTGGTACCGTGAGCGGACTGAGGGATGATGCAGACGTCCCGATGCCCCTGGCCAATTGAATTGAGATACGCACGAATGACGCGAAGCCCAGCAAATTCGCCCTGAGCACCGGAGTTTGGTTGAAGGGAAACGGCATCGAAACCAGTAATATCGGCCAAGTCAGCTTCAAGTTCGGTAGTTAGCTGCTTGTAACCCTGCGCTTGCTCGAGAGGCGCGAATGGATGAAGGGAATTGAATTCCGGCCAAGAGATAGGAATCATTTCGGTAGTCGAGTTGAGCTTCATGGTGCATGACCCGAGAGGAATCATAGAATTGGCCAGTGACAAATCCTTGGACTGAAGATGGTGAAGATATCTCAACATTTCCGCCTCCGAGTGATAGCTATTGAATGTGGGATGCTCGAGGTACTTTGAGCTTCTCTTGAAAGCCTTAGGGAGATTAGCAGGATGGTCCGGTCTGATCTCCAAGCCGTCGGCAATCTCCTGGCAGAATTGCTCCCACTTTAGCTTACCGGGGCTCCTCTGGGAAAATACTGAAAACGCCGCAAAAATATCCTGCATATCCTGCTGAGTGATTGTCTCATCGACCGAGACCGCTACCCTCCGGCTGTCAAGTACTCTAACATTGATCTCATACCATTCAACAAACTTAGCAGCTAGGCCCTTAGCATCCTTGACTTTGACAACTACAGTATCAAAGTTTGCTCCAGAAGACTTGTTCCCAGGATTGACCTCGAACCCCATTCTGAGCAAACCTTCCCCAAGAATCTGAGCCAAGCCATATACTCTCTCGGCAATCTTCTTGAGGCCCTTGGGCCCATGGTACACCGCATACATAGCGCTCATATTTGCCAATAGGGCTTGAGCAGTACAGATATTACTAGTGGCCTTCTCGCGTCGAATATGCTGCTCCCTTGTCTGGAGCGAAAGTCTATAGGCCTTATCACCAAGGCGATCCTTAGAAACGCCGATAAGTCTGCCAGGCATCTTGCGCTTGCCGCTATCCGAAGTTGCAAAGAAAGCTGCATGAGGACCACCATAGCCCATTGGGACACCAAATCTTTGGGAATTACCGAAGGCAATATCCGCACCAAATTCGCCAGGAGGCTTCAACATGGTCAAGGCAAGCAGATCTGTCGCTACGGAAAGCAGTGCACCAAGTCTGTGAACCAACTCGGAAAGATTAGAATAATCGTTGATGCTTCCATCAGTTGCCGGATACTGAACCAAGACCCCAACCAGGTCCTGGCCCAATTTTTCGACGGATGCAAGATCTAAAGCATCTCCGATCTTAACACCAATTCCGAATCCTTCCGCGCGAGAGCTAAGAGCCGCAATTGTTTGTGGGTGGACATTGCTGTCAACGAAGAATGTCTTATTTGGACGCTTCTGGCGTGAGACAGGAAGCGATGCCAAGGACATAGTCATAGCCTCGGATGCAGCGGTCGCCTCATCAAGAACAGAGGCATTGGCAATGGGAAGGCCAGTAAGATCGGCAGCAACAGTTTGGAAGTTGATCAATGATTCGAGGCGCCCTTGAAGCCAAATTTTGTTAGAAAAAGAAAAGGGTCAAGAGAACACATAACAATGCCTACCTTGAGAAATCTCTGGTTGGTATGGTGTGTAAGATGTGTACCACTCAGGACTCTCTAAGATGTTCCTAGCTATTACAGCCGGAGTTTTTGTGCCGTAGTAACCAGCACCAATGTAACTCCGCATGACCTTGTTCTTACTCGCGATGGCCCTCAACCTCGCCAGAAGCTGAGTCTCGCTCAGGCCATTATCGGGCTCAACCTTCAACTTCCTATCAGAAAGTATATTGGCTGGCAAAACATCGTTCACAAATGCATCAAGACTACCGTATCCGAGATATCTAAGCATAAGCTGAGTCTCCTCCTTATTTGGCCCAATATGACGCCTCTGGAAGGTATCCAAAGGGGCATAAATCGACACAGGCTCTTCAAACTCGGTTTCAACCACCTTAAAGTATTGCCGAATTGATCTGGAAACGCTGTCGGGTCCCAATGAGACATTTGGAAAAGGTGTGAAAATTGAAGGGTCCTCTACATTCCCTGTTTCGACAACAGTTGAATGCCTGCGGTTTGGCACCCTGGGAATTATTGAGAGATGCCTAACATGGTAAATTGAACCGTGTTTCCGACAGAGTTTCGAACCAAGAGCCAAATTCTCACTGGCAAGGGCCAAAGACGATGAATTGAGGGAGGGGATTCCACGACCGGCGGCCAAACGACGTAACATGACGCAGACAGAATTCTAACTGACCAGAAGGGCAGAAAAAAACAAAACACCGAGCCTTATCCAACAAACCAATTCAGCCACGGAATGCAAAGATAACGCGCTGATAGCGCAAACTATCACTACCGGGATCAAGTAGGAGAAAACCCCTTAATCTCTCTTACCTATGAAATCTAGAGGGTGGGGAAAACGGTGGTGAGTAGATAGAGAAAGTTCAAAGTCCCCAGCACCTAGAATTTCAGTCAGGGATCGTAACAAAGCTTCAACCAAATAACCAAGCTAATGATAGGTAGCACATTGCAGGCAGTGATGTAAGGCCACCGTTGATAACCGAGGAAGTCAAGGACCACATCCCGAAAGATCAACAACAACGGAAGAATTCGGGAATGTTAACCCATTGAGAGAGAAAAACCGCCTACCTCAATTCCCCAGACTAATAGCCGACGGGTTCACGGGAGTAATGGCCAAGAGAGATGACTACACGATAGGAATTTTCGCGGGAATACAATGAGAGGTAGGGAATAATGTGACGAGAAGTAGAGGGTGGAAAGGTCAGATGAGTGGAGATGGTGGTGAGGGAGTGTATAATGCGGAATGCAGGAGACGGGGGGTGGTGAAATGGGGAATGGAATAAAGAGGAAGAAGTTAGGGCAGAACGAAAGAGGACGTTAAGAATGAATGACGAAGGTGGTAGGGTGATGGCGGGCAGATCAACAGCAATGTAGATCAGTGAGCGCTGCTCCAAGGACACCGAGTTATAAGTGTAGAGATTACCATCTGAGGGGAGGCTTCATAGGCGAGCAGCTTCCTCCCGAGGAAAAAGAGTAGTCGGGGTTATGAAAGCTGTGTTCACGGAGGAGGAGAAGAGAGAAGGGCGAGAGGAAAAAAAGGGCTCAAGAGACCAAGAGCGGAAGATAAAGAATCACACGCGTACCCCGGGTACCACTAACCTTTTGCACTTGTATAGCCCTTTCACAGAAAGGAGGAATGAGAGCTCTTGGTAGCTTTTTTAGATTCACGGTATTTGCCTCTTTTAGTTCACGATACCAAGAGGCATATTTCATGGTGTGGAGGACACTGTCCATGGCGCGACTAGCCGGTTATCAAGATAGAAATGGTGAATGTATGTCTCGGCCTCAACCCTGCGGCTGCATTGCTAGACCCTGATATGCACTCAGTACCGCAGTTTTGGAACACTTCTTGTTCCTCTCCTTACCCTAAGCACGATATGGGATTCCGAATGGAGAAGTTCCTACCCTGTTGGAGTGCGGTACGCACAAGTATCCTTATCTTACCGGCGCAGGGGGGGGGGGGTTGGGATAATTATTCATGTGGCAAGCAAGCAGAGGGGAGACATCTGTAGACTACTGGTACTCGTAGAGAAGAAAGCAAGCACTGTCAGCCCAAGCGAAGTTATACAGCATTGAAGATCCATTCTCCTCCACCCCATCGCGACATTTTCCAGAAAGCATTGAGGTTGAAGGCCATATTGTGTCTCGACCCATTGGCCCGGTCACAAGCACTGACACTTGTATAAAAATTGCTTTTTTCAACGGTTTGAAAGAGGATACCGGTAAGGTTACTCTGCTGTGTCATGGGTAAAGCCAACCTTTCTCCTGCAACCAATAGATAGTGGTAGGGCTAGCCCCAGAAGGTGATCACTTCCTCCACCAACCAAATCGCACCAAATGACATAAAAATATCCCTTTCCGACCGAACTCAGGAGATCGGGATCGCCATGGCTAATTCACATTCCGGGGAGGAGAAACGAATAAGAACGAGTAGTCTTCCGAACGCTCTGCCCTGTTTGCTCGTCCATTCTGGCAGCACGAGGATATTCCTCCTCCTCCGATACCGGTATCATACTGTACCAGTATGATACGAGTAATGCTGGGAGCGCCAGCCAGGCGCACCACAAAGCCTCAAGAGGAACCCGCACCGTACCGTAGTTACCCCATCCCGCCGCCACCCGAGAGACATTGGGAAAGATAAGACTACCCATCCATCCCGATATCGCGGAATCACACGTCCCTCCGAAACAAACCCTTCGGCCGGGATTCCAACCAGACCCAGAAGGACAAAAAAACGCAGCCAAAGGTCGACAATAATGTATGATAGCATATATACTCGTAGCATGAATTCACACCCACTCACACCCACCCACACACCCACACACTATATTGGTATCGAGTAAGCGGAGCCCAAAAATCTGATCGCTACGCATATGAGTACATATCCCTTATGCAATAAGCCCACTTGCCAACAGACCACGGTATTTCCAATTCCGTCCAAAAACATGATGTACCTTGGAGGAGCTCAGGCCCTAGTTATACGCAAGCGGGAGGAAGCGCGGTACTAGTGCGGTACTGTACAGTACCCTCGAGTTATTGTCCTCAACCATGAAAGTCGAGACCATGCATTCAGCTGATCCGCTCCCAAAAGGGCTCCCCTTGCGTGTTGTTCTCGATATCGGGAGAGTGGACGAGCTGCCGCCGAGTGGTCGATACCCATACCAGGACGCACCGGTGGAGCATTCACTGCCGGTATTCGTGAATAGTTCATGCGGGATCACTCGGGGCTGGTGAAAGATGGTTGCAAAGCCAGCTACGAGTACAAAGGGTTTGTTAACAATTTACAGGGAGTTGTGTGAGGTGGTTGGTTAGTGGTCGTTTATTCAAGGGTTTCGTCGACTCCTAAATCGCACGATATGATCCGGGTCCAACTTTTGCGAAAAAGCGTGGGAACGAAGGCGACATTTGAGCCTGATTGTATAATTGCATGAGAGCTGGGCTGGGTGGCCCAACCCTATTCTACACCAGCGAATCCCTGGCCCTCCTTGCAGAATACCACCAAGGGGTTTCCTTTCCTCATCTTTATTGATATCGTACCGGCAAAATGCTACCTTCCATCCACAGCCAAGAGAAAAGAGAAAAACAATACTTCAGCTTCCAATCGAGAAAACACAAAATCTAAATATTCCTTTAATGGTAAAAGCGAATCCGGGTGTGTTGATTGATGCAATATTTTCTTCCGAAAGTCTTGGAGACGACATATTAGGGGGAGAAAATCTGAATCGTGTGGAAAAAGATTCTTCCAGGGCCAAACAAGGTATCATATCACCCTCTAATAATTTCCTAAAAAGGAAATTTACAGAAAAAATTTTAAGCGACGCGGGCTATCCATATTTATAACATTAAGGGAGATTCTAGAATTCAGCCCTCAAAAATTTAACGAAGGTTTCTGAAATATTGTTTTGGAACAGTGCGCATTGGTTACGATGGGTGGTTCTACAGTAAGAGTATGATGGTATCTGTTCAACAGGACAGGAGGAGGAAAGCTCTGAGAGTGGCTGGTATCGTATGTACTCGTATGGGAAAGGCTGTCCTGAGATTTTATGGCTGATTGCGTTTTTTGTCTTCCGTGCGCCATGATGGATTACGGGTAGCCTGCCGGCAGATCTGGTAACGCACGCAACACTGTCTTCCTTGACACTTCGTTTCATCTTTCTTCCCGTTTCGTTTCCCAGGCACATTTGTACGAGTGTCGTGCTCAGCGCTGTATACGATGCCAGTATGATACAGCACGCCTCATGCTCCCATAGAATACGATCAACCCTAACTTTCATGAGAGATCACTACGGTACCGTACTCGAATACCGAATGCATTCACCAGCTGCCGGCCCCACAGTGCTCCTATTTCATTCATCCTATAAGTTTTGTTGCTGGTATGATGCCAGTATTTGAACAACCGTAAGAGAAATAAGAGCTTCGGGTGAGCAAGGACAAAGTGCAAATTTCCCCCAACAACTTGTGAGTGCTGCTGAGCGGATCCATATCGCATCCCGAGGGCGCCAAGGACCAAGAATTTTTTGCTCCCGAGCAACCCACAGCTGATATCTGAACCATGGCTTACTCGTACAGTACTTGAGGCTGACAGCCACACACGAGCAGCGCACCTCCCCCCCCCCCAAAAAAAAAAAAAAAAAAAAAAAAAAGAGAGAGAGAGAGAGACGAAAGAAACAAGGGAGAGAGAAAGAAGAAAAAAATAAAGAACTCGCAAAAAGTCAGAAGTACTGGTAACACAAAATCCTTACATTATGATGCAATCCGGTCTTAAATCTTGGCAGGGCAGATGTTTTTTTTTAGGACGGGAAGGTGCTGGTGCTGTACTTTGTACTTTTTGTTTTTATTTTTATTTTTTTACAAGCCGTTCCGACCGGCTCTTTCGTTGTTATGATAATTATTATGATGCCATGGGATACCGGTATCAGTGGGGTCTCTTTGATGTAACCCAAGCCCGAACCTTTGCCATGACAAGTTATCTTCCGGTATGATGCCGGTATCACTTTTCCACCCTGGTTTTGTGCTTCGGTCGGGCGGCTATGGATGGTTTATTGGTTCTGCGGCTGGCTCCGCGTGAGGAAACGATTGGATCTTGAGAGTGCGTTGTATTTCTTGCTTATTTGGCTGTCCTTTTCGGAATTTCTCCGGCCGGGAGAGGAGGGGGATTGGCAGAGATGGTTTTACGACCGAGCGCGAAATACAGTATTCGAGGGGGAAGAGCTTCCATACCGTAGACTACCTGTGCACCATACAATTCTGCGCGAGGCGCCTGTTGGAATTTACGGTGGCCTCTAAAACATGTGGCTTCATCAAAACAACAGAGGGGAGGAGGGGAGGAGGAGACTCCTCACTTGGGCAAGCCTGGTGTCATTTGTTTTTTGTTTTTTTCTTCTACCATTTGCGATATGAGGAGGCACTGAATCCCGCCCAGGCCGGGCAGAAGAATTCATGGAAGGTCCTAGCAGCGGGCAGTGGAGAGGCGAAATGCAACCGCATTTTGTATACTCAAGTAATAGGATCAGAGGTTGGGCGCCTGGCACTCATGGTTGGTGGCAGGTGGCACGCTGGAGGTGGTGAGATGATACTTGTAGGGATAATTTTTGGTGGTGGCTGTTCTCGATGTCAGAGCGAGGAGATGGCAGAGGGAACAGAGAGAGAGTTCGCGAGAGAGGGGAAAGGTGTAAATCTATGTATGATGCTCGAGTACTCGTACCGGTACTGTACCTGCACGACGTGGTCGAAATTTGCATCATACCGGCAGTATGATCACTTGCCAAGGAAGGTTCTCAAAATTCCATGATACCGGTAATTCCCATGTGGCTGTTTTTAAGGTATTTTATAGATGGTGAACCGTGAACAGTACCGACAGCCGGTACCTTACCCGCATCGACAAAATTTTGATTTCACCCCAAGGGACGAATAATGAAGCTGTAACAATGGCTATATTCCCGTTCTCTCTCGTTCTCTTCGCTCTGATGAGGGATGAAAAGTACCCGTACAAGTTTGAGAAGAGCCAACGGATCAACGAGACGTGCAACAGTGAGACGAACAGAGAATCGGCCAGTGAGAAGAGGAGAAAAGAAAAAATGAGGATAAAAAAAAAAAAAAGTCACACCCCAAAGGAGTTGAGGGGAACCTGGACCGGGAAAAAAAAAAGGGGGCGGAGAAGCTGGCGGGGATATGATGATTTGGTTGAGAAAAGTGAGAAACCTGCTGATGCCATCTATCTATTCTTCATTAGAGTAAATTGTTCCTATTCTGTGGTGTATGATGATGATGCTGTTATAGTACCCGTATCGGTACCCGCATACAGGCAGTCTAATCGATCACCGCCCTTCCTTGAACTCTTCTGGTCATTGTTGTTATTATTTTCCCTTTCTCTCGTCCAGTTTACCTCCAGCCTTGCGTTCGTTGTGCAGTCGACAACAAGAAAAACTTGCCCCCAATAGAAGCCCTTCTGTTCCTAACCCCTTCAACCCTTGCCACCCAGTCAATAAGCAGGACAAGGGGAAAGAAAAAAATTGTTCGACAAAACCATTTCCACCCTTACCCGAACACCTCTCCATTAGGGTACAGCTATCGCCAAGCTGGAATTTTCGCTGCTCTCTGCTTCCCACCTCAGGGCAATCCCCCCCGCCTCCCACTACCCTTCTAATACAATCACCGCTTCCACCCTCAACTCTCTATCAACTTCTCCATCACCTCATACGCCTTCTGTACTCGATTCCCTTGCACTCTCTCCTTCACCGTAAATAAAAATAAGAAAAATAAAAAGAGAAGAGAAGAGAAAAGAAAGAAAGAGAGAGAGAAAGAGAGAGAGAAAGCAGAAGGCTATCGGCAGCAGAAGCAACACATCACGGCCAGCGGTTGGTACTCTCCCCCCTAAGAAAATCACAGAGAGAAAACGATGAACGGCGACGTCGGTGTCAAAAAAGCCACAATGAATAAGATGAAGCAAGTTGCGAACGCGGCCACTGGAAGCGGCGCTATTGCAAACGGTAACAAGAAGAGGAGAAAAGGTCAGGATCTGAAGCCCATCATCACCGGGGAGCAGCAGAATGGCAGTTCGCCGCCCGTACCTGCGACCGTTGCGGGTGACAAGCAGAGGTATTTACTCTTCCCCCCGATTCCCCCCTCCGCATCTTGCTTTAGCGGGGACCTATTCCGCGCTTCACCCCTCGCCCCCGCTCCCCCCGCCCCTTTTGTGTTGGACCGGTTGGACCAGTGTCTTTCACGGGACGTCTTGCATCGCTCAACTCTCCGATTTTTATTTTACCCCCCCTTCTCATTTCATACCTTACTGACGAACGTGTTTGATTGTGTGCTTTAGTGATGTAAACACACAATCTCTATTATCGCATCAAAAACCAACCTCGACCGTTGCCATTACTACTACCCCACCCAATGACACACCCACATCCGCGACGTCTGCAAACTCTAGAGTCTCGTCATCATCACGGACAGGCGAAGAGGATGAAGGGAACACGGCTGACGAGGAGGATTACGAGGATTATTGTAAAGGAGGATATCATCCTGTCACGGTTGGAGAAAAGTTCAAGGATGGCAGGTATGAAGTACTTCGGAAACTAGGGTGGGGTCATTTCTCTACCGTCTGGCTATCGAGGGATGAACGGACCGGCCAACACGTAGCTTTGAAGGTTGTTCGAAGCGCTTCCCATTACACGGAGACTGCCTTGGACGAGATTAAGCTACTCCAACGGATAGTCGCTGCTAAGCCGACGCACCCTGGTAAAGCCCATGTTGTATCCCTGCTGGATTCCTTCGAACATAAGGGGCCCAATGGCAACCATGTTTGCATGGTGTTTGAAGTGCTCGGGGAGAACCTGTTGGGATTGATCAAACGGTATAACCATCGTGGAATACCCATGGGCCTCGTCAAGCAGATTACGAAGCAGGTTTTACTGGGCCTCGACTACCTTCATCGGGAATGCGGCATCATCCATACAGATCTGAAACCGGAGAACGTTCTGATTGAGATTGGGGACGTAGAGCAGATTGTGCGGACATATGTCAGCGAGGAGACCAAGAAGAACGGCAGCTTGGCCCCTGGAGACAAAGGCGACAGAAACGGGAGGCGCAGGAGAAGGACCTTGATCACTGGGAGCCAGCCATTACCCAGTCCAATTAGTGCCAACTTTGCACATAGACACGATGACTTGCCGAGCGCAGGTGGACTGAGAAATAACCATAGTTCACTGAGCCGGTTAATGGCCAGCGCCACCGCAGATTCTAATGGGGGTTCAGAGACGTCATTTAGTAGCGGGAACGGGAGGGACTATCTGTCGTACAAGGTTCGGGAGAAGACAGCGTGAGCATCCAGCACCACCAATGAATCTATTATCGTGATGCTAACGGGCGGTTCGTAGGGATGTCATAACCAGAGAGGTGTCCGGAATATCGCTCGATAAGACGGGGTCAGATTCCGATATGGTTCCGGGACTTGAAGCCATCTCTGTCAAAATCGCAGATCTCGGGAATGCTTGCTGGGTAAACCATCACTTCACCAATGATATTCAGACTAGGCAATATAGATCCCCGGAAGTCATCCTTGGCGCTAAATGGGGAGCTAGCACGGATATTTGGAGCATGGCTTGCATGGTAACACTTTACAAACTCTGGCCCTAGTCACCGTACTAACGATTGGCTAGGTTTTTGAACTCATCACTGGCGACTACTTGTTCGACCCTCAATCAGGCACCAAGTACGGCAAGGACGACGACCATATTGCCCAGATCATCGAGCTTCTCGGCAGCTTTCCCCGTCACCTCTGCATGACGGGCAAGTGGTCTATGGAAATCTTCAACCGCAAAGGCGAACTCCGAAACATCCACCGCCTCCGCCACTGGGCTCTCCCCGACGTCCTCCGAGAAAAATACCACTTTTCGCGTGAGGACTCTGAACAGATCTCCGAGCTCCTGGTGCCAATGCTAGAACTGAACCCGGAGAAGCGTGCGAATGCCGGTGGGATGAGCAATCATGGCTTCATTAAGGAGGCCATAAGCATGGAGAATAAAAACGTAGATGTCGTCGTCGGAAGTAGAGGTGGAATCGAAGGTTGGGCGTGCGAGGTTAAGAAGAGATAGACAAAGACTGAAGGGAGTCTTTCTTTAATCCTTTCCTGTTTTTCCGGTTGCTTTCTGAAATTTCCTAGCTTTATTATCTCTTTCTATTAACTGGACGTATTATTCTATTAGGGGTCGTTCTTTACTTTTTTACATTTTTTTTTTTTGTGCTTTTTTCTTTTTCCACTTTTTTTTTCTTCGCCTTTAATGTGGAAACGTGCTGGTGATATGATAGCTGAGGGAGTGAGTCGTGGCGGGGCAAGTAGAGTAGAGACGGGGATATGACATGTGGGATAGCTAGCCGATAGCAAACTATGATATGATGGTAGAATCGCATATCAGCGCTCAGGAAGCAAGCAAGGAAAGTATGGGAGGCGTGGTGGCGGCGGCGGGGGACAGATACTTTACGTACTAAGCTATATAGTATGCCACCCTAGAAACTTTATAGAGCTTACCATACCCACTATATCTACAAATCATGCCATATTATTATAGCAAACGAACAAACAAAAGATCACTTGTATACGCAAAGCACTGTACAAGTACAGTACCGTGGGGTAGTATTGGCACGGTTGTTTCTTTTTTTCATTTTCTTTCTTTTTTGCAGTTTTGCGGGGAGTATTATGCTGTGGGTTGAGGTGACGTTGGGTATGTGAGTTCACCGGTCATCACTCGGGGGATGGGCGACTCAATCTTTACTCGAGCATTTAAGGAAGATAACGAGGCGGCATGATTATCTCAAGCCGACCGGGGACATGGAGGGGAGAAAGGCAGCAGCACTTGGTTGGGTTCGAAAGCAGTGATTTGGGTGGCAAACGGATCAGCACGAGGGAGAGGGGGGAGAGGGGGGAGCATGCTCCCTAGGAAAGAGGATACTTGGGTAATGCCACTATCTACAGCCCCCTCCCTCCCCAAGAATTCAAAGCTACGATATGATACCATGCATCAAACCTGAACCGAACCCCAGAGAAAGAGAGAGGGAGGGAAGGAAGGATGTCACGATCCACTTGGAATCGTAACGCCGCCACGGAGAGTGGCTGGGGTGTTGGGTTTGGTTTTGTGGTGAATGCTAGGGCCATGCGTGGGAACAGAGGTAGGAGTGGGACTAGGGATTGGGGATTAGGTGGTTTGTGGGTTATGTATTTTTCGGGTGCATAGGTGCGTTGGTGGTGGCTTGAGAGAGTTCTGGAGGGGGTAACTCGGTATTGTTCTTTTTCTTTCTTTTTCTTCTCTTCTTTGGACTGGTAAGGTATCATAACTGTGCTTTGGCGTGGTGAACTGTGATATACTGGTTTAAGATGCATGCGTAAACTTGGAGATGAGTGATGGAATACCTATCTTCAAGGTGTATTAAATTTTGAAAAGCTTTTTGACTCATGATAGCTTAGAGCGCAGCAGTACTTCTTAGTGCTGAAGGTCGTGTCGACATATATCTGGTTCAATCGATTCAAGACTCTACCACAAACTTGGAATGCGGATAATTGTTTTTTCTTCTAAGGTGTATAGATATACCTCCCAAAAACAATGGAGTATCATAGAGTGCATAAAGAAATTTGCCCAGTCCTCAGCCTCCCTCCATTCCACAAAGGAGGAGAGAAAAAAGGAAAGAAAAAAAAACTCAAATTCACAGCTCAGTCAAGACCTATGACACATATGATACAACACAAGACAAAACAGCACTCTCCACCCATAATAATAATATTATTATGGAAACCCAAAGACAGAAAACTCACAATTAAAGAACCTCGACCCACCTTACTAACAAATTCAACGCTCTACAGATCCTATTTATTCATTTTTAATTTTCTTTTAAAGATAAAATATCAAGGACAACTGCACCTGAACTTTACCGGGCGCGCTCCCCGCCCGAACCAAAAGAACCGCCAAAACAGAGCTTACAATTGAGCTTCGCCTTCAATCACCGTGGCCGGCATGCATCGTAGCGCATGTGTATTAAAGCCTGTGGGCGTGTGAGGTGTGCGAGGTGGTGCAGGGAGAGAGACTTCAGTTTGGTGGGATTCAGGTTGGTCAGGCAGATGGACGGTATTGGTGTGGGCACGGGGATTCGCTGGTATGGTCTTGTGAAAAAAGATCCCAGCCGGGCAATCTTGTGAAATTTGTTGTTGCATGTGGTCGTTTCTTCTTCCCTGGAGCCGGTTTGAGTCGGATGTTGGTGAGGATTGTTGTATCATAGGGTTAAAGGAGCAGGAGACATGGCGGGTGTACTCGCAAGCACAATAGGGATGGATTTCCAGCAATATAATTGCGGTTTTACGATAATATTAATTATTATTGGATTGAGCTTCGGCTTGTACGGCGCTAGAAGGTATCACATAAGCTCCTGGCAGACTATACTAGTAAGACAGTCTAGAAGGGGGACCAAACCATGGTGTGTTCATAATATAGTATAGTTCAGGTATTAGTTCCCAGTGCTCGCTGGAATAGGTAATCGTGGTCTTCGTCTATTACCTACTATTCGACCACCTAGACTACAGGCCTAAAACAATTAATAGGTTTAAGAGAGTGAAAACCAAGAGAAGCATAATTTTGGATCAAATGGACTCCCGTAGGTTTATATCCTCAATTCAGGAGGAAGAAAAGTGAGCACAAACAACGTATGATACAAAAACAATATGCCAAGATTGGCAATATACAATACTATGAGATGGGAGGAGGAGCAAAAGAGATGAGAAAGGAATGAATACCGGATGAGAAAAGGGGACATCCCATAGTTAAGGGGGTATGGAGTTAATGTTGAGAGAGGAGTGATGAGCGAGATGAGAAATGAAAATAACTAGTGATGTAAGGAACAAGCGAAGGGATGAGACTACAGTATCATAGCTCTCACCGGCGGGTAGAGCACCCAGTTCAACAGAAACATCGAGTGATCCGCTATGACTCCCTCCCCACACGAGCCTTGAAATAATAGCTGCAAGATCTCTAAGATAGATAACAGATAGAAACTTCTCTGAACTAATAAGCGGGGCCACCCCGTACCTCCCCTCCATGTGCGATGACAGAATCTGGATTGCCCCGAGCGGGCTGGGTTTGACTGCACTCCCCTGTTTTCCTTCCTTCTCGGATGGTATTGTTTTTGTACCCCGACAAAAATAGCGATCTTTCAACAAGAGAACTGAAATATGACTGGGCTCAGTCCCTCTAGAAAATTCGAGCATGCCGGGCACAGAACCACCCAACACTGTATGGCCCCAGCAGCTAATTACTATATATGTCCTCTTGACTGGTCCACTTGCAAGGTCACTTATGGGCGAACATTGAAACGAAATTCTTAGCTTGGAGGCCTTACCCCGTGGGGGTAAAGCAGGATATACCAAGAATATTCCCCCTAGGAGTAGTCCACCCACACTAACAAGGGGGACAATAGAAGTCCAACTTGACTCTAATCTCGATCATGGCGCACTGGATACTGAAGAGTAGAGTGCGCTTCGCCAACCTCAATATCCGTATGGGAGGATACCAGGATGATACTTTGTGATCCGCCCCGTGCTTCCTCTGGAAAGTTAGGTGCTATTTGGCACATCCTTAATTGAACTGTTTGTCATCTCAAAACGGATTTTGGGTCCAAAACATGTTTTGAGATGGTAGTGGTTGGCACGTCGTCATTTGCAAAAAAACACTTTTTTCAGATTGTTTTCATGTAGGGTTATGAACTGTGCTATGATATCATACTTATGATTATATGAAATAATGATATATTAATATTGGTGGATTTTATGCTAAAAAGGATTCGAATGTTGAAAAGCTCTATGATACCTACCTCCTTACACAGCTTTTAACAAAGAACATAGATGATATTTTCTAAACTGCACACTGTTTGGCAGGCCGTTGTTGGCAAAGCGTGTTTAGAGATTTTTCCGGGACGTTCTTTATCAAAAAGCGTTTTGAGGTGACTGCCATCTCAAATAGCTGTGTGCCAAACAGCTCCTCGGTGTTTCCAATGGCTTGGGGGCAAGGAAATCCCGAGAACCCTTAATACGAGTACATTTTAGCCCGGAATTCCTTAGAAACTAGAATACCTCAGATTGAGCTGGGATGTCCAGAATCTCCATCCGTTGATCTGGTAAGGGGAGGCGACAGAGAAAAATTGCCCTCCAGCCCTCTGCTTAGGTAAATAAGGGAAAGCACAGCAGACCCACTGGGGGAGAGGGATCCAATATCCCCGGGAGATTCCCCTAATGCTTTTTTCACGATGGTTATCGCAGCTTTGGAAAACAGACCATGTCGTTTTTTTTTGTTCTACCTCAATTTTAAGTGCGCCATTGGGCAATTTTTGAGAGCTGAGGAGGGCACATCTGGCCCCCCCTCAGTAGATATCAGAGACTTTTGTCTGGACACGACCTTGTCGCTAGATTCGGGGAATCAATATGAGAAAAGAACACCATCTATCGAAATAAAAACTACATCTTCAGCTTTACACAGTTGCGACAACCACAGTGAAAACATTAATGGTAGCGGGAGGGAGGGAGCACCATTCGCAACAAGTTTTTCAGATTTCACCTTTCCTTATCTGATGAGTACGGCATCCACCACTGGTAAAGAGAGGTAGGATCTCACGATTCCTTCAAGTCTCAGTGCTATTCCTCCCTTGGGCTGTTGGGCCATGAGGACTGCCGATAAGCTTTTACCGTACTCGAGTACCGTACACTTGTCTTTGCCAAGAATACCTCCGCCAGCCATTACTTTGTTGGATATTTGGTGAGGCCTCCGGCAAAACACCAGCTGGCAGGGGGCCCTTCTTGGCAAAGACCCGCGGGTATACTCTACCGTAAAGAGCTTTGGACATAAATTCGTTAGAATCCATAAGAGTGCAAATTACTATCAGAGTACAATACATGGCTAATTGCTACTCCCTTTTGCTCAAAGGTTATAGCTGAAGGCTAGCGCTCAATGTGGTGTCCGCGGAATGCTTCAGCATCCATTACACTCGGGCTACAGGAGCTTTCCACGGAATTCCTCCCCGCCAAAGAGATAAAATCCTGCACTCTGACACCCTGGGCCAGCAATGTAAGACCCTGCATGCCACTGCAGGCTCCCCAGTGGAAGAGGCGAGAATCGAACCCTCTCGTGACCCTTAGTAGACCTTGATGAAGCTGGACTATATCATACATACATAATATTATATACATGTTTGAGGTTACGAAGAAAAAAACCCTCAGTTATCAATCGTGCACTTCTGCGATTCCCTAGATTCCCCGAGGTTCCCACTACCGGTAGCCACGTCTAGTCGTCTCCGGCCCAGTTCTCCAAACTTTCGCTTCAAGACTTTCCTTAGTTCTTATCGTTTTCGTTCACTTCGAGATGTTCCTTGACCCAAGAGATTTTTCCGCATGTTTCATTCCAGAAGGAAACGCCCCCGACGGAAACCTCAGCGTTCTCACTCCTCACATTCACAACGATGTCTAACCCGGTCTCCCACCTACGACGGGATCCCAGGGACCCTGAGCAGGCCCAGAAAAGGGAATAATTTA